TAACGCTTTCTATGTGCAAACGTGCTTATGTTTGTATGTTTATTACAAAAAAGTTTATTACAAAAATATGGCGCAATAATAATTAATTGTCAATTTCGTCATTAAATACTACACCAAATACAAAATAAATAGCACCATTAAATGTCTTGTAAAAAAACTGGTTATTATGAAGTTATTTTAAAATTTGTAAGTTCAACTGTTTGGTTTCCTATAGCGAACAAAATAAACAAATAAACAAACTACCTCTTTTATATGTATAGATTTTGGTCTCAATGAAACGAGTGGTGGGTTACTTATTAATTTATTACTTTTTATAACATGATTAAGAATTAGATTCGCAAATTTTCATACACGTCGGTGTGAAGAAACATGATGATTATATCTGTCATCAAGTGACGTTAATTAATTTTTTATATTAGACAGATTAATAATATTTAACTTCTATCAAATGATAACTCATAAACATCAAATGGATTCTTATTTATCGTGATAGATATTATAGGTGAATGTACGTAACATGTAATTCCTGTAAATATTGGACTGGGCGTTGGTTAGCGTGCCCGGACTGTAAATCCGAGGATTCATGGTTCGCAGCCCACTATGTTGGCGTGGGGTGCTGTTAAGTAAGCTGCCTTTGATCTATCAGTTGAAAACTAGGAAAGACTACGCACTGATAGTGCTTGTGTAGCTTTGAGCGAAAATTCTAGAAAAACAAAAATAAGCAAACTAAAACTATCAGCCAAAATAATAGAAGAGAGGTAAAACAAGGCCTGGCTGGCTAGGCGGTTAGGGCGCTTGACTCGCAATATGAGGGTCGCTGGTTCGAATCCCCATCTCACCAAACGTGCTCGCCTTTTCAGTGTGGAGGCGTTATAAAGTGACGGTCAATTGCACTATTCGTTGTAAAAAAAAAAGTATTGCAAGAGTTGAAGGTGGGTGGTGATGACTAACTGCCTTCCCTTTAGTCTTACACTGCTAAATTAGGGACGGCTAGCGCAGATAGCCCTCGTGTAGCTTGGCGCGAAATTCAAAACAAACAGAAGTAATGAAAATTGAAGTTAAGTATATTGGCATATTATTGTTCTTTGTTCTACATTAGTTACCGATGGTCATTCGTATGAAAAATTATCATATAATGTAAACATTCATTACATTAACAGAATGAAAAACACGAACTGCTTAATCTAAACTTCCTCCTTTTCTTCTGGAAATTTGTCCCAAAACAAAAGTTGTAAAAGTAGTTCTTAGAAAAGAAAAGAAAAGGAAAAAAATAAGGATGTAGATTGCAAATATAAAATTATTTTGGCAGTTATGAGCCCTCCATCTCCACCCGAAATAGCTCAGCGACAAGTTTCTAGTTTTATAGCGCGAAACACTTGGGTTCGATACTCGTGCTAGGCACAACACTGTGTAGCTTTGCGCTTAGCAACCAACAAACAAAGCACTTCTAAATTACGTAAACCAGAATCGTCAAACTCATCGATAGTAAGAGTCATTGAAAACAAACCTGATATTGCTATGAGTGAAGAAATATTCTTAATTCAATGTGGATTCTGTCGGTGTGTACTGTTTCTTCGTTACTCAAATATGGTCAAAGTTCTTAGGGAAAAGACCAAAGGGGAAAGGCCAGTCTTTAATGTTTGATATTACATGTGAGATGTGAGGAAAAGTTCACACGATGTTCAAAACATTTTTTTTCGGGATTTCCACGGTTACAGTTACACATAATCGCATTTTTTTCATACTAAACAGCAGTGTTAGTATATCTTACAAGTGTGTCTCTCTTTTCACGGAACTATTGTACCGGATGTAAAATAAGTTGGTGGGATGTTCAGGTAAAAGGGATTTTCCGACAAGTAAACAGACA